ACGGCGGCGGCGGGGACGGCGGCGGCGGCGAGTGCGGCGGCGGGGACGGCGGCGGCGGTGACGGCGGCGGCGGATTGGGCGGCGGCGGGCTCGGCGGCGGCGGGCTGGGCGGCGGCGGTGACGGCGGCGGTGAGGGAGGCGGCGAGGGCGGCGGAGGCGAAGGTGGAGGCGGGCTCGGCGGCGGTGAGGGGGGTGGCGACGGGGGCGGCGGCGACGGCGGCGGGGAAGGTGGGGGCGACGGGGGTGGCGGAGACGGCGGCGGCCTTGGCGGCGACGATGGTGGCGGCCGGGGAGGGAACAACGCCTTGCTCGCCGTCTCCAATGCTCCCGTAAGCCCCGCCGCTTCCACGAGCGCGTCGACCTGCGCCGCGACCGTCAAGGTCAAGTTTGCCGCCACTTCCTCAAGCGTCTGCCCCTTCTCCACGATGGCGATCGAGAAGATCTCGACCTCGATCTCTTGGGAGTACACGACCGAGACGTTGGCCGTTGCCGCACCTGCTGCCTCGATGGTGGTGGCGTCAAAGAGAGCCTCCGAGCGGATCGTGCTGTCGCGGCTGAGGTACTGCCGCAGCTCGAGCTCCGTCTCGGAGGCGCCTTTGCCAAAGCTGCAGTCCTCGCCCTCGCTGGCGCAAAGGGCGAGGATGCCCGTGGCGTTGAGCTGCTCGCCGGTGATTCTGTCGATGAGGAAGAAGCGTGCATCGAGGGGAATGCTGTCGGAGGCGTTGTACAACAGAGCCGCCGGCTTGTTGACGAGTGAGCTGGCGTCGAGCAGGGCACGATGACGGATTTGCTTCTCAGTTGGGGTCTGAACATCGGTGCTGAGCGCGACTGCGAGGGGCGAGAATGGCGGCGGTGGCGAGGGCGGCGGCGGCGACGGTGGAGGGGGGCTCGGTGGCGGCGGCGACGGTGGAGGGGGGCTCGGCGGCGGTATCGTGGGCGGTCGCGAGGGCGGTGGCGAGGGTGGTGGCGGGCTAGGAGGAGGCGGTGAAGGTGGCGGAGGCGAGGGCGGCGGCGGCGACGGCGGCGGCGATGGTGGCGGCGATGGCGGCGGCGGCGACGGCGGTGGCGGTGAGGGCGGCGGCGGAGACGGCGGCGGCGGCGAGGGCGGCGGCGGGCTCGGCGGCGGCGGCGAGGGCGGCGGCGGCGACGGCGGCGGCGGCGAGGGAGGTGGTGGTGACGGCGGCGGCGGAGAGGGTGCGCGGTGACGGTGGCGGCGGGCTCGGTGGGGGGGGTGACGGCGAGGCGGAGGGCGGCGGCGGCGAGGGCGGGGCGGAGGGCGGCGGTGGCGAGAGCAAAACGTATTGTGACTCCGCGGTCCCCCAGACATCCGTGCCTGGCAGTGCGAGCTCAAAAGTGAAACCGCTCTTGACCTTGATGAAGGGGCCTCCTGCAACGTCCTTCAGCGGTGGGGACAGATTCCAGCCGTCGCGGCTCTCCCCACCAACGCCGTGCCTGCTCGAGATCGCGACGCCAGAGCCGCTGCTGTACATGTTCACGATCGTGGCGTAGTCGGTCACAGCACCAGTCGAGCTGGTGTAACTGCCACCGAGCTCCAGGCAAGCGTCTGCGGAGCGCACCTTGTGGATATCGTCGATGCACTCTCCGGC